TTTTTTTTTTTTTTTTTTTTTTTTGCCTAGATAAAGTGATGGGTTTGCAGCTTCTACAATAGCCTTGAACAGGAAGGCAGTTCAGGCTTCTGCAAGCTGTAGAATACTTACATTTATGGAGGACAGGAGTGGCTATCTGGGTGAAGGGAAGTTCAAGGAGAACAGCACCTGAGCTATATTTATGATGCACAGATGTCTGTTCCTTTAGACTAGTGGTTCTCAGCCTACCTGAGATCAGAATCACCAGAGGAGCTCACAAGACTCTGTAGTAACATATGCGTGGGTTCCATGCCCAGAAACCCTGCTTCCAGGGCCGTTGTGTACCACTGGAAACTTCCCAGGTGACTCTGACCTGCAGATAGAGCATAAGGCAGTGAGTTGGTCAGTGTTTGCCTAGCTTTGGGGGTGTGGGTGACAGCACATAGGTGTGGTGGTTATGTGCTTCTGTATCTGCTCCTATATGCTGTCACTGGTCTGTGTCTTTGGGAAGGGACTTGAGATTTTGATCTCCCACTGACCTTCCTTTCAGTTTTTCTGTGACCTCTGTAGGCCAAGTCCAACCTTCCTATCAAAATGCATTTCCTACAGCCAGAGTCCTCTCCATGGGACTTATGCTCTCTCTTGGAGGAGCACAGATGTGACAACAGCAACTGACAATGAGGTGTGGCTGCAGCTGCTGAGGGCCAGGGATGTGGGGACCTCAGTGCACCTAGAACATGAGGGGGCCATGGATTTAGCTCAGTGGTTGCACCACCTGCTTTGCAAGTGTAAGGTCCTGAGCTCTATCCCCCATACTAAAAAAGAGAAAAAAAAAAAAAAAACATGAAGGTGATGTGTGAGGGACTGGGTCCTTCCAGCTCCTCTGAATATTCCAACTCCTTTGCTTTATTTAGAGTCCTGCTTCCTTTGACTCTGTCAGAAAAATGAATAAAATAAATGGAGTCCAGATCTTCTTCATCTGTCATGGTGTGAGGTAGGGCTCACCAGAATCCAATTTACATCATTAGAGGTAGTGGTGCTATGGTTGGATACAGGGTGTACAGATCCTTTCCTACTGACATAGGGCTATGCTTACCACCACTTCAGCACACGCACTACATCCAAGGACTACACATTTCACTTCAAAATTCTGGAGCCAAAATTTGTATCTAATGGAAAAGAAATATGGTCCCTGAAAGCTTTCATTTACCTTTCAAAATTAGTGGAGTCATCTGGTTAAGATATAACTCCATCACAGTGCAGCTGAAGAGCAGTGCTTAAACACACACACACACACACGCACGCACGCACGCACGCACGCACGCACACACGCACACACGCACACTTGCACACTATGAACATCCACAGTCTGACAGTTGGAACATGAAGAAATGAATTTGCAGAGCTATATGGCTCCTCTCAGTTGCCTTATTTCAGATCCATCTAGAAGACTGAAGATGATAAAATAGTTTCCTTGTTTGTGGCTCCCAGGTGCTCTGACCCAAAAATAGGAAAGCAAAGAAGAGAAGTGTCCAGAGTAAAAAGCCTGGACATTGGACAAATAAGCCACCAGGCAAGAAAGCCTGAATGAACAGGTGATATTTTAAAAGCTGGCCGGATTTTAACTTCATGAGCACTCTTGACATGGTAAATGCCTACTAGCAGTGTCAAGAAAGACTAACGGGTGGTCCACCCAGCCACAAGCAGACCAGTGAGGAGCAGAGCCACTTCAAGCCACCAGTAGCCACCAGTAGCATGGTAAGTGCACAAAGAATCAACAACTGGGATCTCGTCTTTTTAAAAAACTTCTGTACTGTAAGAGAAACCACCAACAGAGCTAAGAGACTACCAACAATGTGGGAAAAAAATTTACCAACTGTTCCTCAGACAAAGGTCTACTATCTAAAATATATAAAGAACTCACAAAAAATTGAACCCCCAAATATAAACACCAAATTCAAAAATAGGCATATGAAATGAACAGACATTTCTCAGACACACAAGTAAAAGCACTAAATAAACCTATGAAAAAATGTTCAACATCACTGTTCATTCCAGAGATGCAGATGAAAACAATGCTGAAATTCCACCTCACCCCAGAAAGAACCATCCAGAAATCAAGAAAGCGTGGAGTCAAACTCAGGTCAATTTGCATCCTAGCTTCTGTTTTTGATCATTCTGAGGACACCAAAATGCAAGACCATTGTTTCTAAAAAGCATAAATACACCAGCTAATATAAGCACCAGCTAATTCTCCTAATATTTGATATTCAGACCTTTAGTAACCTTAATGACTTTCCACTTTCTGCTCTTTTGTTTCTTCTCACCTGTATGAGTGACTTGGTGCCTTCAGATTGTAAATTTGTTATGATCCTATTTCCTGTGCTTTACATCATTGTTCCAGGCTAAATGATTGCCACTGCCTAGCACTGACACTGATTAGCACTGAACATTGCCAAATGCATTTTATGAATGGAGAAGTTTCTGGAAAAATGGTTTGTGTGTCTCAATGGATGCTCATCCACTGGATTCCCCGAGCACCTTTGTCCTTCCTTTTCTGGCTCTGCAGTCCCTAGGTGACTCCAGCTCTTCCCTTGTAGCAACTTTCTCCTAGTTTTATGCACTTAGCTTTTCCTTGGCTGCCTGGATGTCTGCTATAAAAATCAGGAGATAAAACATGTTGTTGTGACCTTCAGCACCCACTAGGAGATGGAGAAGCAGCTTAGTTCCAGAAGGCCCAGAGTCACACTTATTGATAAAATCAGCATGCAGTGTGTTTATGTGTCACTGTACCTGTATGAATGCCCCTTGAAAATACATGATAATGGTAAGCACTTTGGAAGTTCCCTGTTGTTTGTTGTTGTTGTTGTTTGTTTTTTAACACTGTCATAAAGCATGTATGTAGACCAAATCACATTTGTGTTTTAAAAATAATCATTTTTTTCCTAAGTTTGGAAGACAGTTGAACTCACAGAGGACAAAAAGGGAGCAAGTCACTATTAACTTTGTAATCTAAAAACTGAACCAGATCAAAGGCAAATCTGATGATGTCATTCTCAGTTCAAAACCTTACTTAAAATTCCCTCTTTCTGGGGCTGTGAGGTTGCTTGTGGTCTCTGGCAGTTGCCTGTGGCTCTGTCTCTGCCTCCATTTCCCACCACTCTCCCTTCTCAGTCCTTGTCTCCACCCACTCACCAAGCCTAGGACCCTGATGGACTTAGCTGTCACACCTGCTGCTGCCCACAGTGCCTCCAGTGCTTGCCACCCTGCCTGGAAAGCCCTTCCTCTGTGTCTGTATGGCCAGTTTCTGCTTACCTCTCATGACCTCCAGGATCTGTTCTCTGCATGGTGAGGGAAAGTCCTCTCTTCACTCTTCCACCATGTTCTGTCTCTGTTTCCTAAGACACATCTTGCATTTCATTTGGAAACTGTGTGTCCACCCATTTTACCTACTTGCTTACAAGCCAAGCCTCTTAGAACTGGAGGTCAGGAATGATGTCTGATTCCTATTTGATCCCCCAGGCCTATGAGGATGATCCACGTACTGTGCACACCTGAGTGCTGTGCAGACCTGAGTGCCATGCACATATGAGTGCTGTGAATAGCTGCATACTGTGGAAAGGCCTGTGTATGGGACCAGCCTGCGGGCATGGCCCCAGGCTGAGACTGAACCTGAGGGGCCATTCCTACAGATTCCACCTTTATTTCCTCTTCCACAGCCACACAGTGCAAGCACGGTACTGTGTATGACACCTGTGGCCCAGGGTGTGTGAAGACCTGTGACACCTGGAATGAGATCAGTCCTTGCAACAAGCCATGTGTGGCAGGCTGCCACTGTCCAGCCAACTTGGTCCTGCACAGGAGACGTTGCATCAAGCCAGTCCTTTGTCCTCAGCTGTGACTTTCGTGTCAGCCATCGAGACTGAAACCTGGTGTCCTTGACACTGAAGTGGAAAAACCAGGGAAGAACTGCAGTGTATGTGTGCCCAACTCTGCACATACAGAAAATATATATAT